AACTATTAGAGAAATGCAAATCAAAACCACAATGAGATACCACCTCACACCTGTCAGAATGGCTATCATCAAAAAGAACACAAATAACACATGTTGGCAAGGATGTGGAGGAAATGGAACCCTCATACACCGTTGGTGGGAATGTAAACTGGTGCAGCAACTGTGGAAAACAGCATGGTGGTTTCTCAAAAAACTAAAAATAGAACTACAATATGATCCATCAATCCCACTGCTAGGTATATATCCAAACAAAAACAAAAACACTAATTCAAACAGAGACATGCACCCCCTGCGTGCACAGCAGCATTATTTACAATTGCCAAGGTGTGGAACCAATCTAACTGTACGTTGACAGATGAATGGATAAAGAAGATGTGGCACAAACACATACACACAATGGAATACTACTCAGCCATAAAAAAGAATGACATTTTGCCATTTGCAGCAACATGGAGGGACTTAGAGGATAATATGCTAAGTGAAATGAGCCAGACAAAAACAAACTCTGTATGATGTCACTTATGTGTGGAATCTAAAAAATACAACTGGAGAATAAAACAAAAAAGAAGCAGACTCACAGATACAGAGAACCAACTCATGGTTACCAGTGGGGAGAAGGAGGGGGAGGGGCAATAAGAGGTAGGGGTAAATAAAGGCTTATTATGGTATTATATGAAATCATGTGTGAAACTTTTGAAAAATGTAAAGCACTATAGAATTTAAAGATTCTTTCATTCAATTAAAAAAAAGACATATTTAGGGCAAATCTACTCAGTGGCTCAGAGAAAAGTTCAATAAAAAATGTGATTTTGCCAATAAAAGTTATTATATTCATAATGAAATTTTAGTGTTTAAAAAAACACTCAAAAAAAACCCTTCATTTTATACTGATAATTATAGGAAGAGTACAGAATAGTAAAGGGGTTAAGAATCAGACCCCAAGCCCTTGTGCACTTTCGGTGGGAATGTACATTTGTGCAGCCACTATGGAAACCAGTATGGACGCTCCTCAAAATATTAAAAATAGAATTACCGTATGATCCAGCAATTCCATTTCTGGGTATTTATCTGAAAGCAATGAACACACTAACTTGAAAAGATACATGCACCCCCATGTTCATTGCACATTATTACAATAGCCAAGACATAGAAGCACCTAAGTGTCCACTGATGGATGAATAGATTTAAGAAGTGTGAGATATATGTGCAATACATATTATTGATATAGAAAATGTGAGATATATATAATAAAATATTGTTCAGCCATTAAAAAAAAAAGAAAATCTTGCCATTTGCAACAACATAAGTGGATCCTGAAGGCATTCTGTTAAGCAAAATAAGTCAGACAAAAAAGACAAATACCATCTGATCTCACTTTTTTGTGGAATCTAAAAAAAAAAAGAAAGAAAGAAACTAAACTTATAGATACAGAGAACAGCCTGGTGGTTGCCAAAGGTGGGGTAGGGAGTGAAATGGGTGGAGGGGGTCAAAAGGTACGAACTTCCATTTATAAAATAAGTAAGTCCTAGGGATGTAATGTGCAGCACGGTGACTACAGTTGACAATACTGTACTGCATATTTGAAAGCTTCTAAGAGATTAGATCTTAAAAGTTCTCATCACAGGAAAAAAATGTATCACTACATGTGGTGATGAATGTTAGCGAGACTCGCTGTAGTGATCATTTCTTAACATATACAAATCACTGTGTTGTGTACCTAAAGCCAATACAATGTTATGTGGCAATTATATCTCAACTTAAAAATCAAGTGTTTGACATACTTCAGGGATGTGCTTATGTACTCTGTGAATGGCAGCAGTTTTATTCACAGATTAACATTAATTATATATGAATTACCATTATGTCAATGTTTATATCAATATAGAATGTTAATCTACAGTATCTTTAAATAATTTAAATGTTATTATAAAACATCATAGTGTTTCTAAATTAACAACTAACCTGGTGATTACCTCTTAAGTAAAAAAAAGAATCATCCTGTTTACTAGCTGGAGGAGTTAACCACTCTAAGCCTCAGTTTCCTCATATACAAAAGGTATGATACTATTTCATAGGCTTGTTAAGAGAATTGAACGGGATTAAGTGTATAAAGTGCCTAAAATATACTGACAGCTAACAGACAAGTATCATCACAATCACTGTCATCATCACATCATCATGACCGCTGTCAGCACAGGCACCACCATTGTCACCCACCCCAAAGCAGGATCAGTGGATCAGAGCACAATCCGTCACTGTCCTTTATGCAAATGACAAATTACTCTGAAAGATGCCTGCACTATTTTGTTCAACTTTGATAAGCAGAAGCCATATTTTCGGAGTCACTGTCACTGTCCTTGGCAGAGAGCAGTCCCAGTCTTGATGTTTCCAAGGATGTGAAATTGTGAGCGGATATCCTGGGACCCAGTCCTTGCTCTGTTGCTTCTGAGCCCGAGCTGGCGTTGCTTAGGAGACTGGAAACGATCCCAGCCAGCCCCTTCCCCACATCGCTGCGGGCAGCCCCAGTGACAAGCGGGAAATGACTTCACCTGCAGGGTTACACAGCTACCACCTGCAATTCCAATGCCTAGTCCTTAATTTGTGTCCTCCTTTCTCTGGGGCATAGAAGGAGCAGCCAGTGAGCAGGACCAGCAGATGGAGAGCCCAGCAGGAGAGGGCAGGAGGAACAGGACATTGTCCCATAAACACACTCGCATCTACAGGCACTGCTGGCACCACGCAGAGCTGGCTGAGAAGAAGGGGGAGCGGGAAGCGGGGCTGAGGGCTCCACCCCACAAGGGCCACCCCTCTCCTGCAGTCTGGGCAGTGGACAAGGGGGTCTGACGTGGGGCTGAAGGGCTGCACCCTCATTAGGAGCATCCCTAGACTGCTAATCCTCCCCAAGGGGGAGGAAGGGGGAGGGAGGGGTGGAAAGGTGGCTTTAAAGCTGAGCATGCATGAACTGTGTCCTCCATTCATGGCCCCACCCAGGGCATCCCCCCCAGAGAGTGGGGACAGGAAGGTGGCTTGAAGGGCTCCACCCCACAAGAGCTGCCTCCACTGCGGTCCGGACAGTGCACGAGGGGATGCGAAGTGGGATTGGAGGCTTGTGCTACCATTAAGCATGCCTTAAGTTGTGGGATTTGCCCAGAGCTGACTACGGTGCAGGGAGGAACAGGAGAGCCGGAGGAGGGGCTCCACAAGGCCCAGGGCTAACAAAGGGGGCTGAAGGGCTGTGCTGCAGTCAGCTGTGCCCTTCCCCGCTGCCCCGGCCCGCGCTTACTGAATAGGGGCCGGAGTGAGGACGAGGGGTGCAAGCGCTGTGCCCCTGGCCCTGCCCCAGGCGCCGTCTCAGCAGAGCGGCTGTGTTTGGACCTAGGAAATCCGTGTTCCTTACTAAGTTTTACAAGGGAGACATTTGCATTGAGTTGGAAACTGCTGAGAATCTTCACAAACTGAGTGTTCACCCCGCATGTTCTCCACACCCCGCTGGCTTTTATCTATTTACGTGGCAGGCCTCAGCTGTGGGCACAAGGCACCTTCCTTCCCAGGGGACATGGGCGCGGTGGCCTTGACGGGCAGCGCCTGGCTGCGCAGGCCTGTTCCCGTCCTGCCGCAGGGTGCCCTTTGCATGCCACAGTTGAGAACATGGTGTTGATGTCGTGCAAAGAAATCCGACAGAGATTTAGTTTGGGGAAACTGTCTGCCTGGGGCGGCTCTGCTTACCTGCTTGTGCGTGCCCCAAATTCTGCTCTCTGTAAAGGACACTTAAGGGCACAGTTTGGACATCACGTTGAAGCCCAATAATTGAGATATGCCAAATTTAGGAATAAATTTTTAAATGGTAATACTGATTTTTTTTAAAAAAACAACTATGTGATTCACAGCGAATGTGACTTTCCCCAGGGATGAATGGACCCAGATTGCTCATTCCTGTGTCTCCTGGCACAGGTAGATTTCTATGGATCCGTATTATAAAGAAGCAAATGCATGCGTGTGTGGACTGTGAGCCCAGGACGCGGGTCCGCTTACCGCAGCGGCCGGGTGTCTGGCGTGGGAGGCAGTGCAGGGCCGCAAAGACGCACCTGCAGAGGCGGCAGCCGCGGAAGGTCCAGGCTCCGTGCACCAGGGCGCCGCATTCGCTGAGGAGGCCCAGGCCCGGCGTTAGAGCGGCCGGCGCGCCGCCATGGCCCTGCCCCGGAGCGCGCCCCGGCCCCGCCCCCTAGCACCCAGGCCCCGCCCCTTGCACATGCCCTCACCCCGCCCCCGGCGCACTGCTGGTCCCGCCCACTGCCCCCTGTCCAGCCCGCTCAACCCCCCGCCTACCTGTGCCTCTGGTCGTGCTCGCAGTAGCGACCGGTGAAGTGGGCGGGGCACACGCAGAAGCTGCCCAGCACGCAGGTGCCGCCGTTCCTGCAGCAGCGCGGCCGCGGGGGCGCACCTGTGGGGTCGCCTGGGCGTCAGCTCCGCGCGGCCCTCTCCGTTTGACAGGTCGGAGGAGCGTCGAGCGAGACCGCCCCGGGAAGGCAATAAAATTAGTTCCCTGCTAAGAGTGTTTGCTCAGGTAAACCCTGCTTGTTAATTTAAGGATTAAAAACAAACTACCGGCGGTGCAAGCGGGTCGGGGCGAGCCCTAAAGCAGGCGGGGAACCCCTGCCCCCTGCAAGTAGGGTTTTCTTTCTTCCTTCCTTTCACATGGTAAAGTTAGGCTGTGAGTTCCCACAACAGTGCTTAAACACAGGCCTCCTGGCGGGGACCACCCACGGGTGCGAAGACGACAAAAAAAAGTTTAAACCCCTCTCCGCCCCCACCGCCCCTTCCCCAGAGGGACACGACCTGGGGACCGGGGTCTGGAGCCTGAGAGTCTGCAATAAACCTAGCAAAGGTCCGCTATTATCTTAGGTTAGGATATTTGCTCTGGACCTACAGAGAAAAGGCATTTAAGAGCAAATGCAACGTTTACCAATGAAACAGTAAAACATTTTTTCAGAATAAAAGAACACCTAGCTATGAAATATTTTTTACTTTATAGCGTATCATCATTTGAAGATGATAAACTGTTATCTCTTGGGTTTCTCTTTTGATCCTTAATTTATCCTAGGGTTTTTTTTTTTCCAGATCCCAAACTCGGAGTCCACTGACTGAGATGACCTTTGTGTCAGCATCGCGACTTACGCTCCTGCAAAGCCGGGGAGTGGGGAAATGCACCCCGCGGCCTCCAGCCGTCTGCGCTGTCATTCATCTCCCTAAAATTATTCAAGGTCCAGTTGAGTGTTTTCTGCTGGAGCTTCTGAGCTGGAGCATGGTTGATTTCTTCTCTACTGCGTTTGTATTTCTCTCTTTGATAACCTTTTCAGAAATTTAAAATGTGAGACTAATAATGATTGAGAAACAAATATACAGTAAAAACCAAGAGACTATAAACAGAATGCTTCTTACTGTTTCCCACGTGGATCATCTCTAATGCCAAACTGATCAGAAACAGAAGCCTGGAATATGTAAAGAAAATTATTGAAGTTTCAAATATTAAAAAGTATAAGCATAAATTTACATATGTATAAAATGTCATGCAATCATATACAAATATGTAAGTATATAAATGTATATGTTTAATGCATAATAAATGTTACCCATTTTGTAACTTGTAGTTTGATTAATGTTGTCAGTCCTTAGAAAGATTTTGAGACCAAGAAATTGTACATACCCCTTGACGAGAAGCAACACCGTAGGCGCACTGCAATCTATTCGAGGCTCTTGAACACCCCTCTTGGCTATAAGATCTGGGAGACATATGTCCTTACCTAACAGAGTGCCTCCGGGTCATTTTCCCACTGACACGTCTGGTATAAAAGGCTCCTTCTCTCATGGATACATTGCAGATCAATTCCAAGGAAGTTGAAATTGAAGAGTTTTTGTATTTGCAGGCATCTTTACCACAAACCCTGGAATAGCTGCATCAGAACACAAGACGGATAAGTACAGAAGATGCAGGTGTCTCCTACCCTCTCCCCAGGCCGAGAAACAACAATGAGAAACCGCAGTGAGGTCTCTGAGTTCTGCTGGGCAACTCCCTTAGGCAGTGCTCGGCTGTGACAGTCAGGGCCAGCGCAGAACCTCAAGGACCAGCCCGTCAATGAGACTCGGCAGGGGGCGGGTGACGGGGGCGGGGCGGGGTGGAGCACAGGCTGATTCTCTCCCCAGCAGTGTTTACAGAGCTGATAGCAGCCTGAGCGGTCAACCCCTGATGCAGAACATCGGTGACCAAGGCAACAAGCTTTGCCCTCCCCGAAAAAACAAACAAACAAAAAATTAAAACTCAAATTTGAACAAATAAGTTTTCATAGGAAAATGGAGATTTTATATCGCACACTTCTTATACTGGAAGATGGTGAGGGGGCCCAGCAGGAGAAGGGAGCTGTTGTATGGGATATAGCCAGCAGCCTTGGGTCCCAAAAGTCTTGAGTGGAGAACATGAATTTAAAGGGAGATGGTTCTAAACCTGCTTTCTGAGGATGTATCAGTATTTTGACAAACTGGTCCTTTTCTTTTCCCAGCACAGTGGCGAATATGTCATAATAATGACCCACTTAATTCAGTGCCCCTCTGGGGAGGCACGATTATTATCCCCCAAAGCAAAAGGCGAGGCAACTGAGGCTTACAGTTTAAGCCCAAAACTTTTGGCATTTAGATTTTTGAAAAACAAGAAATGCACAGAAATTAAGAAGGCTGCAGGGTACTCAGTTTCGGAAGACCACTGAGCGCCAGGGTCACTGCCACCCGCTAGTGTCTGGTGAGCAGCTTGCTCAGAATCCCAGAGGGGAGTGATTGTCAGTCAGTCAGGGTGCTCTTCTGGAACTTGCTAATTTCAGTTTTTCTAATTGCCAAAATAGGGACCGAGATCCTTTTTTCAGCAGCCCAGAGGACATCCTGCAACTCTGGTACAAATTGCTCTCTGATTTTAGAACTGCTTTCTAAACATAGCCTGCTTTCTCCAAAGATGAAATCGTCTTTGATACTGATTAAATATTTTAAACCTTGAAATGGGAGGTTAATGAAAAAGGCTGTTAAGTAAACCAAGAACTGGGTGAGCCTGGCTGCCGTGTGGCCTCCCAAGGACTGGGTCTCAGTGGCGACAAAGCCTGCAGGGACTGTCACCTCAGCCCTTCATGAAACTTCTATAATGGGAGTCACGACAAGTATACTTTTAGACTTAACGAGTATTACTTGTTAATTGCATAATTTAGTTATATCTAAATGTGAGTATATTTATGACTTTAAATCAATAGGAACTTCTTTATGAGCAACAAAAATCACAGATAAGCAAAAGTATTATATTTCTTTGAATGAAAAGTTTTAAAACTGTTCAATTTATAGGATGATACTGAATCCAAACCTTTCTGGTAATATTAAAGTTTTACAAGTGTTGCTCAAACCTGATTTTCCCCTTCAGTTTCTTTCATTGCATTTTATATTTTCAAATGTACACAAAAGCTAGGACGATGACCCAATCAACTGGGTTCAACAATTTAGTATCAACCTTTGCCGATTTCATTTATCGTCCCCCATACTTTTTCCCCCTTGAGGTTTTTCAAAGCAACTCTCAGATATCATGGTATTTCCTATGTCAAATAAGGTTTTGAAAACATGCATCTTGTAATAGATGAGACTGTAGAAGAAGGAAAGGAAGTGTCTTGCCAGAAAGACAGGACTGAGAGGCTAGAAATAGCCACGAATGTCCCATCTCCGGCTGTTTGCTAAACTTCTGAAGTCAGCTCTGAGGAGGGAAAGCAAGGGCTGATGGCCTCGGGGTGATAAAACACTCTATCACTTGCTCTCATTTACTTAAAGGTCTTATGAAAAGAGTTTTGCATTTCACTACCCGAGGAGCCTCTGTTTGCTTAGTGAACAAGGCCCAGCTGGAAGAGGTTGCCTGGGGAGTGGCTGGGGCCCCCCATGGTGGGCAGGCAGACCCCCTGGTCTGAGGAAGGTCCTCTTTCTTGTTATCAGTTGTAAACAGATAAGACTGGAGCCAGGCCGGCCACCCCTCAGCGCTCCAGTGGAACTTCTGGCGCATTTTGAGCTGACATAAGGTGTGTGGGAATTGGCATGCCCTGTCTCGGGACTGGAGACCATCCCACCTCTGAGTCCTCAGTACAGCAGTCACCGAGGAAATGTCCCACGCCAATTAGGCAAGGGGGAGTTCTCCGGGACTGACTTTTGAGCAGTGGTTGTCCTGTGTGCTCGCTGAGGTTTCCAGGAAGCTCTTGAACTGTGCTTAGGCCACACCTCAGACTCTGCTCAGAAGACAGAGCAGTTATCTCAAAATAAAATGTTTAATTAGGCAAAAAAAAAAAGGCCTTACATACTAGAAAACCTTGAAAACACTCCATTTGTGCTGGTTTGGGGACTCTGCCGTCAGGGCTGTCAAAATACTATGGGGGGAGCTACCATCAGGATTTTTAAAACCTGCCCCGGGGGTTCCAGTGTACAGCCCAGCCTGTGACCGCATCCAAGCCCTACCTGGCTGTGTGCCCCCAACAATGGGAACCCTCGTCTTTGCACCCCTGCCTTTTGGCACAGTGCCTGATGCAAGGTACCACACAGCAGTCAATGTGCTATCACACTTACACCCACTTGTCAGTGAGGCACTGCGATTTAAGAAGCTAAGAAAGCATCTTGGGGATTGTGACTAAGAAACAGCTGTGCAGAGACTCGAACACAGGTTCGTCTGACCTCAAATCTGTGTTTGCGGACATAGTGAGTAATCTGATGGTGACGGGGCAGGGGGTGGAAGGGATAAATTGGGAGTTTGGGATTTGCAGATACTAACTGCTATATGTAAAGTAGATACACAAGTTTCTTCTGTAGAGCACATGGAACTATATTCATTATCTTGTAGTAACCTATAATGAAAAAGAATATGAAAATGAATATATGTATGTATCTGTTTGACTGAAACATCTTGCTGTACACCAGAAATAACTGACGCATTGTGAACTGATTATACGTCAATTTTAAAAATCTGTGTTTGATTCAATTTGCTTTAAAATTATTTAGTGTTTGATATAGACTAGGTATACTGTCCTCACTGAGTTGCACTGATTGTTTTGTTTTATGGTCATCACATCCAGATGACATAGATACTCTCCCATTTTGTAGGTGAGGAAAAATGAGGTTTCAGGAGTTGAGGGCTTGCACAGTGCCTCCCAGCAGTGACGGCAGTCAGAAGCCAAGCTACTGAGCCGGCTGAGGGCTTCTGTGGGACCCAGTGGAGGGCACTAGATGGAGGGACACTGCCCCCCTCCTGCAGGGAGGGATTTAGAGAGCAGAAAGCATTTACAAAAGTGGGACGATGATGGAGGTTACAGGAGGTGCGGAGAGGAATGTTGAAAGCACTGACTTGACTGTAGAGGGAAGGACGAGGGGGAGGGGACCTCAGGAGGGGTGGAAGGGCAGGAGGAGGAGGTGTGGGTGGAGACATGCGATGCTGGAGGAACTGTAGCATAGAAAGGCCAGAGGACCAGGAAACTGGAAGCTCCTCCAGGGACTCACACAGACCTGAATAGGGATCAAATGGGAATAAAGAGAAAAGAGTAAATTCTAAATGTATTTTTAAACACCAGTGTCATTTTCTCTGATTATGAAGAATGTACACAGGGAACTATATTCAATATCGTGTAGTAATCTATAATGAAAAAGAATATGAAAAGGAGTATATGGATGGATGTATCTGACTGAAACATTATGCTGTACACCAGAAATTGACACAATATTGTAAGCTGGCTATACTTCAGTTTAAAAAAAAAAGTAATGCATTCTGATGTTAGTCAATTTGGGAAGAACAGAAAAACACAAAAGAGAAGGTAAAAGTCACTCATATTCTCATTGCTCGGAAATGACTATTAGCTTTTTCATCCCAGTCCATTATTATCCCCCTTGTCAAAAATGATGCATGTGAGACGTAGAATTCAAGTTAGATTTTGGGAAAACATGAACTGTGCATGTTAAGGAGAAGCAGCCTGCAGGAAGCATGTGCAGTGTCTGAAGACCACTGAGCACAGGGGTCACTGCCACCTGCCACTGTGCCTTTTTTTAAATTAATCCTGGGTGATTTTTATATTTTCTCTTCTTTTGTAAATGGTACAATCTTTGTTACGTGATTTTTCTCTTTGCCGTTTGTATTCAGGAATACAACTAAGTTTTTTTTTTGACTGTGGTAAAATATATATAACACAAAATGTCTTACAAGCTGCTGTAAAAACTTACCATAGACTGGGAGGCTTAAACAGCAGACATTTCTTTCTCACAGTTCTGGAGCCTGGGAAGTCCAAGATCAAGGGGCCAACAGAATGGGTTCCTCTCTGCCTGGCTCACAAACACCTGCCTTCTCACTGCGTCTTCATGTGGCAGAAAGGGAGGGCAGGAAGTAAGCTCTCTGGTCTCTGCTGACAAGGGCACCTATCCTACCTTGAGGGCCCCACCCTCATTACCTGATCTGAACCTCCTAAAAGTCTCATCTCCAAAATACCATCACATTGGGGATTATGGCTTCAACACATGAATTTGGGGGACCCAATCCAGCCCATAGCAAAATTTGCCATTTTATCATATGTAAGTACAATTCGGTGCTATTAATTACATGCACAATTTGTTTTGCAGCCATCATCACTAATTCAAAACATTTTCATTACCGCAAAAGAAACTGTACCCATCAGGCAATAACTCCCCATTGACTGCCCACTTGGCCATAGGTAACCCCTAATATACTTTCTGTCCTTATGAATTTGCCAATTCTAGATACTTCATGTGAGTGGAATCATACAATATTTGCCCTTTTCCTCCTGCTCATTTCACGTAGCTTCATATATTCAGATTCATCCACGTTGTAGCCTGTGTCAGAACTTTATCCCTTTGCATGACTAAGTACTATTCCATTGTATGTATAAATACC